GTTTGTGTTCATTTGCTTTATAAGCATCAGTGTATCCATTTCGTGTTCACATCTTCTTCCACTGGGAAAAAAGGTCCACAGCAGCTGTATTGACAACATAAGCTCATTAAGAAAATTTTATATTCTAAATCTTAATTTAATGTTAATGATCTATTTAATTTTCTAAAATTTAACAATCTAAATAATGAGTATTTTTTTAATATAAATATTATAAACTTTATTTCTCCATTTTCTCAGGACATTTAATGTGATAGGTCTCAACTGGGAGTGTACAGCAGAGCACCCTATGGAATCTTTTTGGATAATGAAGTGAAGGTGCTTGCTACACTTCTTCAAGGAGTACAGATTTGCAAGGAGAAGGGCAGACCAGAAGCCAAGGCTACTGTGCCATGGGAACAGCCTTGTTTGGGACTAGTCAGTTCATGGGAACAGAGAATTCAAAGCACTAAAATGGCATCAATATATGAGTCTGATCATGCAGTACAGACTTAAACCAATTCAGTGATTCCACATCCCTTCTAAGACTTAACCTTTTTATTTCTAAATAGTAAGAGACTGAATGGATTTGACACAATTGGTTTATCTGTTCATCTGTCAATTGGTGTCTGGCTTGTTTCCAGTTTGGGGCTATTATGAATAGAGCTGCTGTAATTTTTTTGTGAATACTTGTGTGGACACACCTTATTTTTTCTCTTGTGTAAATATCTAGAATTGCTACATCATATGCTAAGTGTGTAACTTTGCAAGAAACCAGCAAACTGGTGTTGTGAATTCCCTCCAGTAGTGTCTGAGAGTTCTAGTTTTCTACATCTTTGCCATCCATTGGGATTATCAGTCTTTTTAATTGCAGTCCTGGTGGATGTGCACTGATATGTCATTGTAGATTTTTTATTAGTAGTACATGCTTACTGTACATGAAGTTTACAATCATCTTAGGGAATAGGTGTATGTATATAGCACATCTTGATTCTTGTTTTTTAGTCATTGTAGATTTAATTTGAATACAGCTGATGACTAATAATATTTTGGATGTTTTCTTATGTTTATTTTCTCTTCATAGATATAATTTTATAACTGTAATAATTCTCTAGTAATTCCTAATGTTAATTGTGTGATAATTTGATAGCAATAATTTATTTATCTTTTATGAACTTCTCTTGGAACAGAATTCAAAACAATGGTAAATTCATAAGTGTTTGTATTTATTTAAAGACCATCAATAATACTTGGAGTTCAACATCAAATCATTGGTGACAGAAAATACCAGGATATTTATGGAATGCTTTCTATTTGTCAGGCTCTGTCTCTTGGGGTTTCCTTCCTGGTTGCTCCTTTGCTTCTCTCCTCATGACTTTACCAGGGTCTGGGCTGATGGTTTCTTTAGGCCTCTTTCAGTTTTAAATTCTGACCATCTTGACGAAGGAGTTCGGAAGAGCCATTGCTAGGCACTATGAGTTTTACCATACATGTAATCAGGTGCTAAAGTGAAAGCGTTCTGTAGGATACGTATACCCAGGAGTCTAATTGCTCCTGTCCAACCATAGCTTATTATGATAATGACCACTCTCAGGGCAGGACCCAGAGCCTTTGGGGTGTTGGGAAGCAGAGTACGTGGAATTTTGGCCCTGGAACACTAGTAGGAATAGCAGGTTACTTGCTTGCATTTGCTCTGGCCGCCCCTTGTAAAAGGGCTCCATGAACTCTTCCCTGGAAGCTTAGGCAGCACCGTTGGAGAGCTGTGGACTGTTCTGCCGTGTAACTCTCCCTGAGACTCAGATATCTCCACTCACCCAAAGAGTGGGGCTTGGACCATGCCACCTTGTAACATCTCTTGAAAAAGATTTTTTCAGGAGATACTGTGTTTTCGTATAGCACTTTCTATGGTTCTTTGAATTGTGGAGATATAGTGACAGTAGAAAATAACTTTTATTTCCCTGGATTTGTTTCTTAATAATGAAACATCATTAGCCATTAACATATTTTACTTTTTAAAAAAAATTTGCCTCTGGTAACCTGTGGGACAAATTTCCCACTAGTAATATTATAGATAGATGAGCTAGGTAAAAATATTACAGGCAGTCAGATAGAGCTAAATCCTCAAGAGGGCCAGGACAAAGGTGAACCACACCACAGCTACACATCGGCTGAAAACCAGGCCTCAAGATGGAGACAAGATGAGTAGACCCACATACTTCTGCAGAGAACTGGGCTTAGTGAAGAATAAATAGGCATCGGCCACCCTGGGGTGATCAGAGACCTCTGGACCCACCACCTCCTAGGAGAATCCTTGTTCTTTACATCCATGCTTGGTACACGGCTTCCTTCCCCATTGGAGCGTCATTGCCTAAGTGACTATACTGCAACCTTATTGGATGTTCATGGCTGTGGCCCACGTTGTACCCATGTGAGTTTCACCCTATAAAACTTCTCTGTAAAGTGGGGTCCCCAGGCTGCCCACTCGGGACCCCTCCTACCCCTCGGGAGCTTTCCTATCAATAAATATCTTCCTAATTTTAACCTCCTTCATTCCTAGAACTGATCGTTTGATTTCTAGAGAACAAAAACTTGGCATATCCTGTAGTTAACAGGTTGGGACATATAATATTTCATATTTTATATTTCTCACAACAGTAACAGTGTCTGGCAATGGCAGAGATCTTTTCCCAGGATTGGCGTGGGTGGGTGGGTGGATATGTTCCCTCAAGAACAAGAGCAGGCACTGACATCTCTGGGATAGAGGTAAATATAGGTTGTTTCTAAAAGTTCTCAGGTGATTTTGATTTACCCATTTTTCCAGCTGTCCATTACTTTGTCACTTTAGCCTCCACATTGATGTTTCTTATGTTCTTCTAACAAGTAAAATTTGAATAATGAAGAGTTTACAAAAGTATTTACTAACCCACAATCTATATTGGAGGGAGGAGTAGCTGTCACATACCCTCTACTCCTGCCAATTTTGTTTGTAGGATACAGGAAACAGTATTTTGTTTTATAAAAGAATACAAATTTGGTTGTTTTTAAAAATACCACCTAGATTCAAAATAAGGCAGCAATGTATGATAAAACTGCCAGTGTGTAATGGGGCCGCAGCTAGACTCATATATTAGCTCCTGAATTGTGAGTTCTGGAACAATCTCATGCCATTTCCAGAAAATTAAGCTAATTGTGCTCATTCATTGTATTTCAACAAAGTTTTTTCTTGAGTGAAAACAGTGCTGTTGTACAGAAAGATGAATTGTACCAGTTTCTGCTTAGAGGGTTCCTACTCTAAATTAAACCCGATACTAACCCTAAGGGGATTGCATCATTTGAGAGAAAACACAACAAAACAAAGCCGATAAACCCTGATAATTCTCACTGTCTTTTTGTTTTGCTTTCATTGTTATTTGTTCTGGGAACAGCGGTCTGAAATCTCTGTTTCACTCTGCCACATAGCTCTAGGCCGGGCCCAGTCTGCTCTGGGCTTTGCTGAATTGCTAGGAACTCAAGAGCCGCCATCCCCCTGGCCTGATAACCAGACTTCTGAGACAGTCCGCCATGATGTGTGGCCTGAGGCCTTGGATGACTACTTCCCATTTCCGAGCCTCCATTGCCTTAAATTAGTGTCAAGAGATTTTGATTTAGAAATAAAGAATTCAATAAAGAAATAATTTTGTGTGTGTGATGCTGTAGATCAAAGCCGGTGCTCCTACGGTGGCAGGCAAGCTCTCTACCACTGAGCTACATCCACATGAAGAAGTCAGATGTACAAAAATAAGAGTTCCTTTCTAGAGCTATCTGTTAATGGCTCTAGTACATACTTTTGTCCTTTCTCAGCTCTTTAGTGGAAGAACACTGCTCCCTTTCCAGTAAGGATTCAATGACATTGTCCCTGATTTCAGCCCATGCAAAAACCACTTGGAAGCAAGCGTCACGTCTGGAACACAGCACGGAAAACTTCTGGCTCCTAGCAACCCTTGTCCACTCTGCGTACTCTTCACTCTGCATCTGCATGCATCTCCAGATCCGGGGATCACTCTGCATCTGGATGCATCTCCAGATCTGGGGAAGCCTAAGATGATGAGAGCTGGCAGAGGGGCCTCGCAGCCGGCAGGCAGAGACTGAGTAAGCAGCCACAAGGGCTAGTCTTTTCCCTGCCTGAAACTGTCTCCCTCCAGGGAACTGTTTTTCCCTGCAGCATGCAAATTTGGACTGGAAGTTGCCTGTAGTCTCTGAAGTATTTAAATTGGGCATCGGGGAGCTGTGATACCCCACCGTGCCATCTGCAGCAGCTGAGGCTGCAGAAGCCTGCAGCTCAGAGCAAACTTATTTCTCCAGCAGCCACCTTCCCAAGGCTTGGGACCAGGAAGTGAATATGAGCACTAACAACTCTGTGACTCTATGAGTTGGGAATGGTATTGCTGCACTTTTTAGGGTGTATTAAATTACTTTGTATCTCACCTACCTGAGGTCTAGAGCAAAAGGACCACATGTTACCTGTCGCTCAGTCTGCATGGGTTAGGACTTCAATAGCACAGGGATAAACCAACCAATGGATTTAGATCTGAGTCATGGATGAGCCACATAGGGCTTGGCCAGCAGGCAGGCCAGGCAGCCTGTGCTTGCCACATAAGTGGGGGTCACAGCACATTAGAGGGTGTGGGAGTGGCAGGCTCTGTGGCTGTCTGTCCTTGTTTCTCCTTGACTGCCTAGGGTGTCATGGCTACCATTGCACATGGCATGGAGAAAGCCTAGAAAAGCAGTAGAGCAAAGCAAGGCCACTCCATCGTCCTTGCCTCCCAGAGGCTGGAGGTTTGGGGGAGTATAGCCAGGGGCTGGGCTTCCCTCCCTGCTTGCTCCACTTAGCCAGTGTCACTACCCAACCCTGCTGCTGAAGCCTAGCTCAGGGCCCTTAATGGCCCCTTGGGGCTTCCCTCTTACCCAGCCCTGACTCTTAGAGCCTTGCCTGGCTGCTATGGCAACAGGTTCCAAGGTGACAAAGGAGGTTAGCTGAGTCTTGTCCATGAGGATTTTCAGACTCATAGAGATAGATCTGCCCTGCACTCCCTGAATCTTTCTGTGTTCTCACTTGGCAGAGTTCAGACTTCTATCCCTGCCAGCAGGAGCATGAGCCTGACCACGTGTGAGTGGAAAAAAGTGTTCTATGAGAAGATGGAGGTGGCAAAGCCAGCCGACAGCTGGGAACTCATCGTGGACCCCAACCTCAAGCCCAGTGAGCTGGCTCCCGGCTGGAAGCAGTATGTGGAGCAGCATGCCTCAGGCAGGTGAGTGGTCCAGTGAAGAGGGCCCTGCAGGTAGCCTTGGGTCACAGCCACGGAGCACCTTGCAAGAAGAGACAGAGTCTGGCTCTGTTAGGTCCTACTCTGTGTCAGATCAAATGGGGGAACAGAGAAAGGACAGCCAGGTGGGTCACAGAGGCCTTTGTTCTAACCACAGCTATACCACAGACCCCCGGGGTGACTGGGAAGCTCTGTTCTCTGTGTCAGTCTCCAGATTCCACATTAAATGAGGAGCAATAATATCTCCATTGACCCTGCAACCTCTGACATTTAAAGAGTGGTTAGAACAGACAGCAGGGGGCTCCACTGGACATCAACCTAGGAGAGGGAAGGGTGGGGCATACTCTGGTCCCAGGTTTGCCTGTTCAGTTAATTAAATGCAACTTGATTTGAATGCAGAGACAGTTACTAACCACGACTTATGCGTCAGGAACTAGCTTTGTGCCTAACTGCTTTTGTCAACTTTTCCTGGCTCTGAGCTTTTACATTTGCAAAACAAGAGGTTGACTTTTGATGATCAATCCAATCCCTTCCACCTCTCTTATCTCTGAGTCTGTGACCTAAATGTGTAGCTTTGGGCAACACATCTCCTAGGTTCTTAGGCTTGGGGTCTCCTATCAAAGGGAAGGGGACATGTCCTTCTGAAGCCTCATACCCCTCCGCCTTTTAGACTGCTTTGGGATGGGGACCACAACATTCTTGGCCCAAACTGCCTCAAGCCCAACTGCAGGGTCAGCACAGTCTGGGTCCTTAGATCTTGGACTCAAGGGAAGCCAATAGGTGTATCTTGGATGTGCGGACAGAAATTGGACGCAGAGCCTCCCCTGTTGACACACGTGTGCATGTGAAGCCCCTCATGTACCTCACAGGACTCTGCTGAGGGTGGGAAACGGAGGCAGGCAGGCAGCTGCACAGTCGACTGAGCCTGTCTTAACAAAAGTCAACTCAAATTCATTCAGGAAGCATCTGCTGGGCACCGGCCATGCACTGGACACTGGCATGCTTCTGCCTGGCTGTGTGCACACGATGGCTCTTTCACTTTGTATGCTTCCTTCTCATTCCAGTAGAACAAGGGGTGATGAGCAGGTCTGGCTGGAGGGAGGGGAAGCAGCTCTGGATTGGCTCATTTAGAGAAGTGTGGAAGGAGACTGATCATGGGAAGCACCTCAGCTGCCCGGAGGAGGAGGTGCAAAGGGCTGAGCCCCAAGGGTGACGGGGCTCATGGCTCCTCTTGCTTCAGAGTGCTGAAGGCTCTGGTGCTGTGGCTCAGGACTCATCAGGGCCTCTGCCCTGCCAGTCTTGCCTGGGTGGTGCTGGGTCCACTTCTTCGTACATATTGCAGTGGCTCTGTGGGGTGGGGTGGCTTGGCTTCGGGTCTGTTCACAGCCTGGGCTGCGTAGTGCTTGGCACTCGGCAAATGCTGAGGGCTGCTATGGGATCCACTCTAGTTCCTCATCAGAAGTCCTTCAAGGCCTAGAAAGAGCAAGTGAGGAAGGTACAGTAAGCCCAGTGGACCCTCAACTGCCTCTGACTATGCCTGGGGGAGGTTCACCTCTGGGATAAAAGGCAGCGAGGGCTCCATCACTAAGTGTGCGGAAACATGGGGGCAGACCTGGGAGGGTGAGCTCCGCTAAGTGAGCCACATGCCAGCTCCTTCTGTGCGTGCTTCCTGGGGCTGGGGCCCCAGGGGCCAGGTTAGACATAGCAGCCTGTGCGTATGTGCATGTGCGTGTGTGTTAGGGATCAGAATTCACACTTCTGGTCTTCACTGCAGGGCTGGAGTGGGCTCTTGGGATGACTTGTCAAGGGACAGGGGAGTGCTCTTTGTGAAGATGCATGGGCCAAACTTAGCAGTCCCTCCCTGGGCCAGTCCGTCACCATCCACCCGTCCATCCCATCATTTTCGGGAGTTGATTGAGGACCTGCAGGGTGCCAGGGCCTGTGCTTGGCATCTCTTCTTCCAAGAGCAGGGGAGCTGTGTGAGTCAGGTAGTGTACGTCAGCCCTCTCATCAGAGTGGCAGGAGGTCTGAGCGGAGGGAAGGACCTCTATGGGACACCGCCACGCTGCCCTCCACAGGCAGGCAGTGGGGTTGGAGGGGTGCTGACTTGCTGGAAGCTAAGGCTGCAGGGGGCTTGCAGGAGAGCATGCTGGATGCAGGATGGCTCCAGTAGGAGGCTCCTGAGGACACTACCCTGGCCACAAGGGTGTTCACCAGGAGGGGACTGCAGCTGGGGGCTTCAGAGTGCTAATGAACCCACAGGGGGATAAACATGCTATATCTGTTTCTGGGCTCAAGAACAGAAGCCTTTCCTGCTCGGGCTTCTCAGGGAGGATGGCTGGGAGCCGCACTTTCTCCAATCCTCCTCCTCCCCGCAGGTTCCACTGCTCCTGGTGCTGGCACACCTGGCAGTCGGCCCACGTGGTCATCCTCTTCCACATGTACCTGGACCGCACCCTGAGGATAGGCTCGGTGCGCATGCGCGTCTTCAAGCAGCTGTGCTACGAGTGCGGCTCGGGGCGGCTGGACGAGTCCAGCATGCTGGAGGAGAACATCGAGAGCCTGGTGGACAACCTCATCACCAGCCTGCGCGAGCAGTGCTACGGAGAGGACGGCGGCCAGTACCGCATCCACGTGGCCAGCCGCCCGGACCCCGGGCCGCACCGCAGCGAGTTCTGCGAGGCCTGCCAGGAGGGCATCGTGCACTGGAAGCCCAGCGAGAAGCTGCTGGAGGAGGAGGCCGCCTACTCCGATGCGTCCAAGCAGAAGGCTCAGGCCTTTGGCTACAACTTCTTCTCGCTTCGCTGGTGCATCTTGTGGGGCGCCCTGTGTCTGCTCTTGGCCTATCTGCAGTTCTTCTTCCGCAGCCCCACCTTCTTTTAGGGGGCCGGGTGAGGGGTTGGGAGAGGATACAGGGTCCAGAGATCCAGGGAGGACTCAGTCCGGTCCTGATGCTGTTAGAGTCAGTGTGGCGCCGCGAACCATTCAGCCACCTTTCCTGACCTCAGGTTGTGCTCTGTAGAATGACAGGTCTGCATTAGGCGATATTTAATAGTCCCTGGAGTAAACTGTACAGTAATGAGAGGAAGGGGAGAAGGGTGGAGGAGGCTCGGGAACCTGTAAGTTCGGCATTAGCAGGAGATGCACAGGAAGGTAACTTTCTTCCTTCCCTCCCTCCTCTTCCATCCCTAGCCCTCCTGTTCCTTTATTTCCATATCTCTGCCCTGTTACAAGTTAATACTTGGTTAGGTGCTGCCTGGCCCTGGCTCATGCTCTCCTTCTCTGTGTGTCCCGCCACGGATCCCTTTGGTGGGCAGCAGTGGCCCCACCAGGGCACAGGGGCGGACTCACCTGGTCTGTCTTTGGGGAAGTCTGCTCCCACCATGCTGAGATGCTTGGAGTTTTACGCTGGTATCAGGGCCTGCTTGGCTGGGATTGTCCAGGGCCCTACTGTCTAATACGTTTGCCCGCGGGCCATATGTGGCTATTTCCAATTAAATGAATGAAAATGAAATAAAATAAGAAATTCAGCTTCTCAGTCATGCCAGGCTCAGCCGGGCTCGCACAGAGCGCATGCCCCACGGGGCCATTGCTCCACTGCAGTGGCATCGGGAAGATGAGTGGGAGGAGCTCCGGGAGGACCCTCACGGCCTCCAGAGGTCTGTCTGCCCTTTGCCTCCGTCCACTCTGGGCTCTCAAGGCAATAGGAGGGACAGGACTGCGACGAAGTGCCGCCAGCCAGCTTCTCCTACTAAAGTTGTGGGTTGTGGGCCTGGGGACAGACTGCCAAGATTGTGCCCCGAGGGAAGCGCGTGACTCAGTCTGAAAGCTGGGGGAGCTGAGTAGCTGAGGAGGGTGGGGTCCGGGAAAATTCCAGAAGATAAACTCGCTCTGCTTCTTCTCTATCAGCTTATCTGTCTTTTTCATATTTATCTAGAAAGACCCTTCCCGGACTCTGCATTTTCCTCCAACAATTGCTATGTAATGTAAAGAAAAACACTTTCAAAGTCAAGTTTCTTAGATAGGAGTAGATTACATTCATCTCCATGTCTCATTCCCTCCTTAATCCACAGAAATCTCACTTCTGTGTTCCCCAAAGTGCCACCCCAAGCCCCGCTGCCAAATGGTTGGCAGTTTTTCTGTGTCATGATGGATCTGCTGCAGTTTATGCTCCTCCTTGAAGATTCCGGGAATCTGCTCCGCTGTCTTTGACTTCTCTTTTCTCCACACCTTCTCCTCACCACGGATTAGGAGCTGGAGGTTTCTGGGATTCTTTTCTTGCTTTGCTCATTTTCCCTGAGGAACAGACCCACTGATGCCTTAGGTTTTCACTGCATGGAAGTTCCTGGGCTTCACATCTCTGCAAGGCATTCACACTGAGCTCCAGGTCTCATTGATCTGGCCACTGACACTCCTCTCAAAAGCAGCATGGCTGAAGCTGAGCTCCCCATGTGGCCGTCCATACCCGCCATCGACCTCTCAGAAATGCAGATGTTATCCCCAACCCCCCTCCACCACCCTGCCCTCTCCCACACTCCTCTGGCACCGGGTTCCGTGGCCTGCTGATGTTCCTCCCAAGTACCTCTGAGATTGATCTCCTTTTTTCCATTCCCACTTACTGCTGCCCAGACTTGCTCATTTGGAGTCTCTTGCTCCTTACTGACCTTCATGGTTACAGCCTCTCTTCTTACAACACCCCCTGCTTTCTGCTGCCGACCTGGAGTGATCTGGTAATAACACAATATGACCAGCACACTCCCCTAGTTAGACTCCTCTGAGCTCCCTCCTGCTTAGGGATGAGATATAGCTTCAGGAGCCAAGCACACCTCAGTTCCCAGATAATGATAGTATGTTGCACTCTGACAAGGAACTCCATCAGTATTGGCTATTATAATTAGTCACTCCATGTGATGCTTCCCTAAACACTTTCTGTGCCTTGTCTCATTTAATTCTGAAAGCGACCCATTGAGGCAGGTAGTATTATTATCCTCACTCTGTTGTTGAGGCATAGAGAGGTTGAGAAACTGGTTCACGGTGACCTAGTTAATGAGTCACAGTGCTCAGGTGAAAATCTAGAGAATTTCTTACTCTAGAGCTCAAATTCTCAGTCAGTCACTGTGCTGTCTTGTCCCTGGGATCAAGTCTATGTTCTTCCCACTCTGCTGTGCTCCAACTGCTTTTTCAAAGCTCCACCTGGTTTTCCTTTGGTCTAAGCTTGAGCGTTAGCTCCCTGGTGACGCTGTCCTTCAAAGCCAGTGTTAAGAGCTGACCACCTCTGCTACTGCCCTTGTCTTGTATCGCCAGTGCTTGAGGGCATGGGTCTGCCCATCACTGTCAGCTGCTTTTCAGTTTTCCATCCCGACACAGAATAACTGTTTAATCGAAGTAGTTCACTGGCTAAATTCTTATCTTGTTCAATGCAATATTCCTTGCCACACACTCCTTTACCTCAAGATTATGTACATTTCATGTACTGAGTCCCCCAGTCTGGAGGAAATCTTGATTTTTTTCTCCTTAATAACCGATTATAGCTGTGCATAGTGGGACACTCTTGTAATCCCAGCACTTGGGAGGTGGAGGCAGGATGAAGACCTTAAGTTCAAGGCCAGCCTGAACTACACAGTGAGAGCCTGTCTCAAAAAACCCAAAATATAATAATAATAATAATAATAATAATAATAGTAATAGCTCATTGTTTAGATACTTCCATTATTAACATTGATAGACAGGAAAAGGGGAGCCCGGACTGCCCAGTAATGAAATAGTAAGACAGAGGTACATGACATACACTGAAAATCAGTTCAGATACTAAGCAAGGACCAGAGAGTAGAGTCAACTTACCAACATTTCAATGACAGCTGAACTTAAAATCAGTGTCTAAAGACAGCGAGGGAGTTGGGATTCTAGAAAACTAGAAATAGAGATGTCTGAGAGACGTTCCAAAATTGCCTGTCAGAAGAGGTAGCAAGAAGTTTGCAGACACTGGATGTGAGATGAACTCACTGTTCATGTACCTTTATTGCTGGAAAATGGAATGAATATTTGTGCCTTGTCTTTCATGAGGCCAGTGTGATCTATTTGTATTTCTGTATATATCCTGTAATTTCCTCTGTGTTGTAGGTTTTGGAAGAAGGTACTGTTCTGAAAACACCCTTGTGTATCTTTGTGCTGTTTTCACTCCATGGAGCAAGTGAGTGTGGTCTTCACTGATTGCTCATTGGCAGTGGTTTGCAGAGTACCTGATGGAGAGGAAAGTAAGGCACGAGAGGGGGTGCTGTTCTGAGACTCCAGAAATCTGAGTTCCAGTCTCACAATCCAATACAATGAGTCAGGAGAAACCATTATCGTGCATGTAAAAGCAGGGCATGGGATATGTTCTGGGGAATACAACTGTCTTCTTTTCATTCTCATTCACAATTCAAGATTTGTATACTCTGCTCTGCTTTATACTTGGCCTTTTCTAGTTCCTGGATGGCAAATGTAACTAGAAATAGTCCCTGACAGGGAGGGACTGAAGTGGGGGGGGGGTTGCAGTGTGAGAATCAGTGCTGTTCTAGGGAAGGAGGGAAGCCAAGTCTGACTTGGGGACTGGTGTTAGGAGTGGGTTTTTGAGAAGAGCCAAGAAGGTATGTTCTGAAAGACACCTAGAAGTAGGTCTGGAAGGCATTGCTGGGCTGACGGGGAATGAAGTGCATCTCAGGACAAGTGAAGAAAATGGTGGACATAGAAGCAAAGCCTGTTTCACGTTCAAGAAGCAGAACGTGATCAAGCACCAGAAGGCAGGAGATGGAGTTAGAGGAAGGGGCTTTTGGGGGTCTGGGAGTGCTGACTAGAAATAGAGCTGAAGAATGAAGTAAGCTGGGGTTAGCTTTCTTAGCTTAAGGAAGGGGTAGTTCTATGGTTTGGAGGGTGCATTTTGATTTATGATAGATTAGTATTATTTTAATAATTTTTCTTTAAAAACAGAAAAGCACTGGACAACTATACCCTCATTCCTTCTACAAACATTTTAATGCCTGTAAATAGTGCAGTAGGCACTATGCATGGACAAAAGGAAGCATTCAGTTCTGCCTCTCATCCTCTTCTTTCTCCACTCGCTTCTGTTCTTCTCTCAAGTAGCTGAGAATAGTCTCAGCTCTCATCTTTAGGTATAGAAAAGAATGATCTCTTCAAGTGCTGTGTGAGTCACGATTATTTGGGCTGCAAATAACAAAGCTAATAACTTTAGTCAAATGTCACAGAAAGCTTTGTTTATTTAATGGTGAAAATTAGGTCAGTTAACTAATAATCAGTACAATGAGGCAGTTTGTTTCAGGTCTCAATTGTTCACATATGTTGAATTTAACCAAGAAAATTAGATGTGACTTTCCTTTGTACAATAAAAAATGAATTACTTCTTTAAAGACTCAAATGAATATATCTCTATATATTCATACATATTATATAGAATAGACTCATTAAGAGACATGAAATGCTCCAAATAAAACAAAATAAATGACAACTTAAAAAATGGTTTTAAAGTTAGAAAATATTTGTACGTATTTATGAGGAAGGTGATGTTTTGATTCACGCATATCTTGGGTAACCATCAACTCAGAACTTAACATACACATTTCCTTAAACTCTTACCATTTCTTTATGTTGACTACATTCAAAATCCTCTCTTCTCACTATTTTGAAATGTTGAGTTTATTATTGGATGACAGCATTTGGTTCCATACGTATAAACATGTGTGTGCATTTGCCAAGCTGTGTATGCACAAGACGGGAAAGAAGAAAGCGGACCCTGAAGTTTGGGAGCTGAGCTGGCATTCACAGTCATGGTGCTCCCTTGCTGAACATAAACAATTCCAGGGAACACCAAACTCACCCAGAGCCATCTGGCATGGTGCTAGAGCAGAGCCGGGCCAGAGCACTCTGTAATTATCTCCAAATATAGACATAAACCTTGTCTAGACCATAGAAATGACCAGAAATCCCCCTGTGCTGGCCAGTGTGGGTGACTGCTACTTCTCTACCAAGCTCAGCTGTAGCCTCATTGTCTTCCTTATTCCATTAACATCAGAGGGGGGTGTTACTGAACCTTCCCCAAATCACCTCGCACATTTCCCAATGCCCCATTATATCCTGTCTGACACCCTCCTAATGAGATTCTTTGTGCTTCTCATTGTGCACCCTTGGGCTTTACAGAATCAAAAGAATTTTGTTCAGTGCCAGGTGTGTTCCTGGTGGCTTTTGACCAATGACATTGACAAATAGCATATCTTTTCTTTTGGCGTCTGTGAGGCACTTAGATGCCTCAAAGAAATCAAGCAAAGTAAAACAAAAATATGCAAATACTTCTTTTTCCCTTCTGGCTGTATATATTTAACTAAGAAATTAAGACAAAAATATTAATCAA